CCCCCTCTCTCTTGTTTTCATTTTCTCCCATGCCCCCCCTTCTAACTTTCCAACCCCGCCCCGTCCAGGTAATTATTGCACAGTCCCTTACTTTGAATGAATACTATCCTTCTAGTTCAAAGAACGTTCACTTATCACGGAAATCTAATTGGTAAATCACGCATCACGTGCTTGTAAAATAGCAAATCACGTATCACGTTCCGATGTCCTGTCCCGCGTCACGCGGCTAATTTGGTCTCAATCACGCATCACGCTGCTAATTTTGGGGCGATTACCCGTCAAGCAAAAACCCTTTGCCACCCTCTATTAAAGTGTCCGATAAAAACAAAAATAATAAATGTCTTATGTTAATGTAGTTCTTAAATCAAGACAATAACTCACTGAGCAGCTGAGGTTTCTTTATATTGATTTTTATAGGCCAAAACAGAGACCGGAATACCTGAATACGGGGAGGACGCGAACAAGGAGTCAAGGACCTTAAGTGGAGTAAAAATGGCGGAAGAACTAGCCAAAGGGAATGCAAATTGTTTTGTTCAAACAAGCCAAAGTGGTGTCATAAGCGGATCAGAGAAAGTTTCTTTAGAAGTTCCGCGCGATGATGCGGATCGAGACAGTGACAGACTGGACAAGAAGGATGAGCACAGTGACGACTCAGTCCTCCGCGCGGGTGGATGTTCATCTTCCATTGTTGGAGGGCTTAATGAGAAACATGATGGCAAGCGGAAGCACTTGATAACACTGGAGATGAAAAGTGGAATTTTTNTTGCACAGTCCCTTACTTTGAATGAATACTATCCTTCTAGTTCAAAGAACGTTCACTTATCACGGAAATCGAATTGGTAAATCACGCATCACGTGCTTGTAAAATAGCAAATCACATATCACGTTCCGATGTCCTGTCCCGCGTCACGCGGCTAATTTGGTCTCAATCACGCATCACGCTGCTAATTTTGGGGCGATTACGCGTCACGCAAAAACCCTTTGCCAACCTCTATTAAAGCCTCCGATAAAAACAAAAATAATAGATCATGTCTTATGTTAATGTAGTTCTTAAATCAAGACAATAACTTACTGAGCAGCTGAGGTTTCTTTATATTAATTTTTATAGGCCGAAACAGAGACCGGAACACCTGAATACGGGGAGGACGCGAACAAGGAGTCAAGGGCCTTAAATGGAGTAAAAATGGCGGAAGAACTAGCCAAAGAGAATGCAAATTGTTTTGTTCAAACAAGCCAAAGTGGTGTCATAAGCAGATCAGAGAAAGTTTCTTTAGAAGTTCCGCGCGATGATGGGGATCGAGACAGTGACAGACTGGACAAGAAGGATGAGCATAGTGACGACTCAGTCCTCCGCGCGGGTGGATGTTCATCTTCCAGTGTTGGAGGGCTTGATGAGAAACATGATGGCAAGCGGAAGCACTTGATAACACTGGAGATGAAAAGTGGAATTTTTGAAGCACCTACTGTTTCAAAAAAAGCTTATCGCTTCAGTGAGCCTGGCAAAACTATTTTCGTTAAACAAAGAGTAGAGAGGTCCTTTACACCGTTTACGGAGGAAACAAAGTACAAAGAGGAAGCAAGCTTATGTGCAGAAAAAGGATATGACCACGAGAGGTTTTGTCATAAGGAAAGCCCGCCGCAAACGGCCAGGCCACAGATAAATGAGCAGCCTTTCAATAAGGTTTCCAGTCACAAGAAGAAGGTTAAATTCAACCTGGAGCAAGAAGCTGCTGGTGGTGTATCAGACGATAGTGCCTTAGAGCGTCCAATGTCTTCTTTCTTGAGACACGACAGACCTGTCAGAAAACCATCGACTTTCCTTCAACAGTTCCAAGAACTTACTAACAATGACTGTTCATTAGCAGGCGCTGGTCATGATCCTCCACCTCCTCTGCCTGACTGCAAACCAAAATGGCAAGGTGCTGCACCCTGTCTGCCTGCAATCATGCCAGAAAAGAAACAATATAGAAAAAAGAAGAAACTACAACTGGAGGACGATTTTGAAGGCTGGGGTGAACCAGAGCCTGCCGAAGTGAAACGTATATTGGAGCGGCCTATATCAGCCAAGCTTCCCCGCTATCCCCCACACTGGGACCCACTTCCCAACGAAAGACCCCAAGGGAGAGGTGGACAAGGACACTGCCTCGGAGTTAATTGGAAAAAACCCGAGCGAAGCGCATTATCAAACTCGTATTGTGACGGTATGCACACGTTATTTAGCAGTAATAAACGTTCTCTTTTGTTATGCTCCGTTAACTATTCTCCGTTAACTTCAAGCACAAATCATATTTGATCGAAGAATTCTCCGGCATTACAGGCCCTGGTTTGTAACAAAATGTTTTACAATCCTGGCACAGAACTTGGCCTGTTGAATAGCATCGGTGTATCGGAGAACGACCGCGTCTGATGTTCTTACCACATTTTGAAGTCTTCTTTGGTCTATTTAACAATTAGATTCTGAGCTCGAGATTTCTATCAACTATTACGCATAGAAATTAAATAGAAAGCGAATAATCTTATCGTCTTAGTATAAATTTAGCAGTCGTTCAAAACTTTATCTAAATCCTCTTCACAGACACTTCGAAAACGATGCAAAGAAGCCGCCGTCATTTTGTTAACATAAGCTTTCGCAATAACCCAACGTTTCGTTGGTTATCTGGAAGATATCGTTACATTATTAGACGGGCCTGAATTACCACCCCCTTTTTTCCCTCAGAGTAAAGCATAAATCCAAGAACTGTCTCTTGACATTGGCTTTTGGTTAATTTTATAAAAGTACCATTCTTTATTTTTGCTCTTAACTAACTCCAAGCTATCAAATGCTTAGGTATTTCAGACATAACTCGTGAAGACTTGTAGTACTCGCGCAAACGTACGTCTCCTCCTCTTACTTACTTACAGAACGAGCTGAATCGCCACGGAAAAGTTTATTCGTGGATCACCCTTTTCTAGGGCATGACCAGTCTAAAGCGGAAGAGCCTCGAACGTGGTGCAGATTCACGAGGTTTAACAAGTCATTTTACCAGAATCCTCCAAGAAGACGAGCAACTGAGGACAATGTTGACATACAAGATGTCGAGTAACCATTGGTTGACTGTAAAAAAATTAAAGCGAGTACAGTTTGTTTCCTATCGAAGGATTATTGATTTCGGCAAAAATTTTGCCCAAAATTTCCATTTTTTGTAAGATTTTGAATTTGTTAAGTTTTTTGTATTTTTTTAACAATAAAGAAAATCTCCATTGTTTTCGAACACCTGGAGCAATTTGATTGGTTGATTGTTATTAATCCACGGAACTAGTTTTGTCGTGTAGCATAGCGGCTTTCATTATTTGAGCGTCGAAAAGTATTCGGTTTTGAATCAAATACACGTGTGTCAAAACGAATGTTCGTGCGAATCTGTTCTTCGAAATTGTGTTCCCCCTTCGCGTTCGTTTTCATGCGAATCAAACTCATTTTCATATGACACGTTTTGCACGTTTTGATTCCTGAAATGTTTTTTTGCCAAAAATCGGAAATCGCCTATTCTTAATTCGCAGAAAAAACCCCCCACTATTTTGCTCTTAATCCAGGTTATGAAATGTAGATATTAAAGATAAATTCGTCAAGAAGAGAAGCAATATGTTTTCCAGAGTACGGAAGAACGATCAGTACCGCCTCGAAATTAATGAGCTTGTTGATCATTCCTGCCCAATAAATCAGCACGGCCGGTGCGTTACAAGATGTAAGAAATACACCAGATTGATAAGAATGAGTATTATTGCAGCAAGGATCAATTGATTTGTTTGCGATTTCTCCAGGAATAGGCTTCGAACCTCACACAACACTTCCAGCATGTGCCTGGGTTCCTAATCCATCTTTGAGTTCCCTTTGAGATAAGAAAAACTCTATTTCAAAACCATTTCTAACTTTTACACATGGTCACTTGTTAGCTAAAACTCTTATTTGCAGGAGTCTGGAGGAGTACGAAGAAAAAAATAAGCAAGTCTAGCCTGTATTTGGTTCCATCATAAGGTTTCTTTCTTATTAACCTTTTACTCGTCGTTTCATGTTAGCTAAAACGAAAACGAGTGTCACTGGATAAACAAGAGGGTTAATAATAATTATGCTGGTGTGAATTCCAAGGTGTCTCTTCAGACTTTCGTCGTAAGGCTGCTGTTAGCCTGAGCCCTGATCTACAACAAAAAAAAATCGAAAAAAGGCCCAGGCCTTCCCTGCCATACTTAAATCCGATGTTTGTNTTTTCAGGCTTCTTCTTTCCAATTGCTTAAATTGGAAAATTAACTGCGATGATCATTCTTCACTGTCAATTCGTTATATTATCACTGACCACACCTGTCTCAAAGTGCGGTGAGCGTTATAGACCCTTTTCATAAATGGCTGCTAATTTAATTTCTTTTGTATGCATTTAAATTAGCCTTCCTAAACTTGTTTCAGAGTAAAAATTCTTTTGAATTACCAACTTCAAATTGAGGCTAGTAAGGCTAATTTCAATACTTGCAAAAGAATTTATAATTGGCCGCCATTTATGAAAGTGGTCAATGTTACGCCACTTTAATAATTGAGAATACCGCGTAATAATAATAATAATAATACTAATACTAATACTAATACTAATAATAATAATAATAATAACAATAACAATAATAACAATAAATTCATAACCCAGTAGGGGAGGTCGAAGATAGAGTTTAGCATGTACATTTTAGCAATCGTCACAAGATAATCATTTTCGCTTCATTTTCTCTAAGACAAGCTCAAAGAGATTTTCATTTCAAGAGATCGACGTTATATTAAACTTTCGCTTTCTTCTTTCCCGATTTTCGTCCAGAGTTGCCGGCCGGTTTCTTGTTTTTTCCTTGCAAGCTGGACTTTGTTTTTCCTTTCTTTCCTTTGCCAGTTCCTTTCCTCTTTGACTCTCCCGCCCTAGAAAAGTTTGGAAAAGAAAATAAAGTTCCGCAGGTATTCTCTTGATTGTCACCCTAAGTTTCTTGGACGAAGCGAGAAAAGGCTCTAAATCTGGGCCACTGAGAAGACCCCTTGATTCAGGAGGAGGAGGCGTGGGACAGACCGGGGGACAGAGAGTAGGGGCAGGGGTGATGGGAGACCGGGAGCAAAGACCAGGGGGAAGGGGGACAGGAAGCAAGGACCAGGGGGAAGGGGGCATGGACCAAGGACCAGAGGGAAGGCGGACAGGAAGAAAGGGGGGACATGGACTAAGGACAAGGGGGCAGGGGAACAGGAAGCGAGGAGGGACACGAACCAAGGACCAGGGGGGAGCGGGACAGGGAAAGCTGAACTGACTACTACCGCACCGTTTTTCCGTCCCTTCTTTAGTACCTCTCGCGCTTCTGTACTTTTTCTATTGCGAAAACTTCATGCAGTGAATCCGCAAATATATTTTTTTTCCTACTTCCCTTCACGTACCTTTTCTGTGTTTCCGTTATGTACTGGCTGACAGCCTGAAAAAGTTAGCAAAATAGGCGTCAAGTCAATGTCATCAGTAATTATGGGATCTCAGTACGATATATCCTGATAGCAGTCTCGTGCCCAAAAATCTTCCATAGTATCGTATTCGAATCAAGCTTCTCGTGAACGTAACGTAAGCACAGCCGAGCTTTGTAAAGTACATGTACCTTATTAACGTCCAATGGGTCTCGCTTGGCAATTTTTTCCGCCAGCTCCCTACTTCGGTTTCGTTCACTTGACAAGTCGCCGGCCACTGGCTCAAACTAAAATTGAATAAAAATAAAGTAAACAAAAAATAAAATAAAATAAAATAAAATAAGAGATGCCCTCCTTCACAACACGCGACGATCCACAACTCGATGACTTTTTATTGTTGTGAATTTCGCGAAGTTTCCGGGAAAAACAAGTCATCAGACATTTATGATCAGAACAGCTGCAAACAACGTTTTATTCCTAGCAAACAAAAATTAATGAAAAAACCAGAAAGACTTGACTGTGCTCAAGAAGCAAGGAGAAACACCCGCATATTGGTTCACGTTTTTCCTAACACTTCTTTCGTGCTCTGTTCACTTCCTCAGGTATAACGTAGTCTATAAGCTTTTATATATGTAGCAGAACAGAGCATGGTCAAGTCTTTCTTGTTTGTCGAGCATTGCTAATGTCAAGTCACAATAAGACGTGATGTCTTCCTTCGCAAAACAAGCTTGTCCGTCCTTTCACTGCTACTGCGGTCTTACCTGTCGTTTCTTTCCAGTTTTTCTAGGAATCTTTTCTTTGGGCTGAAAATTAAAACATAAAAAAACTATCAACCATTGTTTCAACAATAAATTGTTTTAGTTGAGAGCGGGAAAAAAAATTGCACGAAAAAGTCACCTGATTTTCAGGCGCGGTTCCTGTTAATGATTTTCCCACATAAGTAAAAGATGCCAAGTCGCTTTCCATTTTTAAAAACTCTCTCAGTTTTCATTTTAGCCATCAGTTTTCTACAAACATAATACTTAGATATACTTTGATTGTTCTCTTTTATTGTATTGATCTAGAAAAAAAAATTGTACCTTATAGATATGTAATTTCCTTTTTATTTAATTTTTAAACTCTTTGTACATATAACTTTGAGGTAATTTTCACATTCTAAATTCGTTAAATCATGCAGTCTTAATTTTACGAAGGGCCCCTTTTGATAGCAGCCCATGGCTGATGGGGCTACCCTGCCTAAATAAAAATGACTTGACTTGGCCTGTTACTGAAAAACAAAACAATTCCCACAATTTGATTTTACATGTAGTTCTTACCAAATTGCAAATGATACTTACCAACTTTTCCGTGAATTTTCCCAGAGATGCAGTTGAAAGTCTGCTGACATTTATTTTTGTTGAAACCTGGATTAATGTATCACACAGCAAGAACTTTAGTCTACATGTTCATGTAGCTTACATGTTACTTTGTTTACTTCAATGTATTCTTTTTGTGTGTGTCTACACGTATGTTTGTTTGTTTTTTGTCCCTGACCTAAACAAGTAAAAAAAATCTTTTCCTTCAACTGGCTGCCTGGCATTTTCAACTCTTAGGTGATTTCACAGTTACATGTAGTAGAGAGAATGGTTATGAAACCTGGCAAAGTTCTTTGTAGTATGTTTTTGTTGGCTATTTTGGGGGTTGACCCTGCACAAAACTTGGCAAAATACAAAAGGTGATTGTGTTGCGATTATGTAATTCNTAGATATACTTTGATTGTTCTCTTTTATTGTATTGATCTAGAAAAAAAAATTGTACCTTATAGATATGTAATTTCCTTTTTATTTAATTTTTAAACTCTTTGTACATATAACTTTGAGGTAATTTTCACATTCTGAATTCGTTAAATCATGTAGTCTTAATTTTACGAAGGGCCCCTTTTGATAGCAGCCCATGGCTGATGGGGCTACCCTGCCTAAATAAGAATGACTTGACTTGGCCCGTTACTGAAAAACAAAACAATTCCCACAATTTGATTTTATATGTAGTTCTTACCAAATTGCAAATGATACTTACCAACTTTTCCGTGAATTTACCCAGAGATGCAGTTGAAAGTCTGCTGACATTTATTTTTGTTGAAACCTGGATTAATGTACCACACAGCAAGAACTTTAGTCTACCTGTACATGTAGCTTACATGTAACTTTGTTTACTTCAATGTATTCTTTTTGTGTGTGTCTACACGTATGTTTGTTTGTTTTGTGTCCCTGACCTAAACATGTAAAAAAATCTTTTCCTTCAACTGGCTGCCTGGCATTTTCAACTCTTAGGTGATTTCATAGTTACATGTAGTGGAGGGAATGGTTATGAAACCTGGCAAAGTTCTTTGTAGTATGTTTTTGTTGGCTATTTTGGGGGTTGACCCTGCACAAAACTTGGCAAAATACAAAAGGTGATTGTGTTGCGATTATGTAATTCAGACATAATCAATGAGCAGGTTCAAGGTCGACTTTCCATCATAAATCTAGCCTGTTTGTTCGCTTCTTTGATGTTTGCTTCTTAACCATTTTTCTCTATTAAGGTTAACTATCAATAACTCTTGATCTCATGTCAAATTCTCCTTTGTTTCAAAGAAGGGAGCAAAAAGCAATAAGAGAATCTTGCAGTTTCTCTGATGTCACTTAGGGTATTTTTCCATACACTCCTTCATTTTTGTTTTCATTCTACAACATTGTAATTCCTAACTCTTTCTACATCAATTAAAGTTTTTGTTGTTTGTTGTCATGTTGGTCATAAGAATCAAGCACCTGATCACCTGCTTGCTAGTGATCCCAGCAAGAAGAACATGTCTTTAAACAGAGAGAATTTGGACATCAGTGCTCAGTACTCACAGATTTGTGCTCACCTGTTCTTTGCTTTGTCGTCCAGATGTTGGTGCAAGGTCCTTATTTGGAACTAAAAAAAGACAAATAATCAATTATTTAAAAACTTGCATGTTGCACAGTGTGTAGATTAACTCAAGACACATCCGTGATTGTACATGTACAGTATATTAAACAACAAAACAAAACATTTCACTTACTAGGAATCTTTCTGTTTCTTGCAATGTTTCTCAGCCGCTGATATTCATTCTTGGCAACTCTTTCCTTTTTGGCTTGATTTTTTTTCTCAAACTGATCTTCATAGGGATCTAAGAAAAAACAAAACAAATGTATGACCAGGAGTTCCATTAATGTTTTTAGCAGGAGGGTAACTTGTTTTTGCAGGTGGTCCAAACATTTTGAACTGAACTTCTTTATAAGAAAAACTTTCCTCTAGATGGTCAAACCAGGCAGGCAAAATCGTCCTCAGAGTTGGTCAATTTGCCCGGTGCTTGGCCGTTAAATAGGAACCTGCATGGTCCCTTTAATCAGATATGTATGCATTAGCATATAAGGTACACTTAAAGTGCTGGTATGTTATTCAATAATTATGTTGAATTTTCTGTTTGTATGATTGCCTTGTGTACATGAACCTCCAAATCCTCAGTCCATGAGTTGGAAGCCACACAACTCTTTTAAACTGGACAATGAAAAGTCTCAATCTCGCCATCATGTCCAAATTAAATAGACCAGTTGAAATTAATACTGAACAGTCATGCAGTTTTCAAACAGGAAACACTGTACCTGCATTCTGAGGAACCTCTATCAGCCACTCCTTTGTTTCATCATTGCCCCTCTTGTATCCATAACGTGGCTTCCATTCCTGAGAGCCATTGCAAAATGTTTAATTACATGTAATTAACACATTACAGTGCCGTTAATTTACACTCATAAAGCTATGTCCTAGATACCATGCATTTGTCCAATTGCAATTCTGTGAAAGACTAAGTACTGTATGAAACATGTATTACAGAAAGAGTAAATTGCAGCAACTATATAAAGTGTTACAAAGGGAAATATATAGACTATCGAGTGAAACATTTTGAATTCTGGCACTCTACATTGCATTGGTAGTTTTTTTTTTTTTTACATGTAAACACCTTTGAGTATGATTTTCTTTTCATAATTTCAAAGCAGTAACTACATTTTGTACAGTGTACATGTACACCAGTTTGTAAGAGACAGAATCAACTAAATTGCATCATACATGTGTTACCAACCTGAGTGTTTTTGTCCAATATCATTCTCTCTCGCTTCTTTTTTGCTATGCCCTGTAAAATTAAGAATATACTGTAAAATGTGACTCATATGACTCATGTGAGTCTTGGCTCAACATGAACATTTGCCAAATCATTCGAACTTAAACAAAATATATTGTTAATGGATTAATAAACAGCTGTATTACAACAATGTACACGTCTTTTGAAGTAAAAGTGAAAGACATTATAAAAGTAGCGTAATTCCTACAAGGTACATGTAAGCACAAAACGGAATGACACGTCATGTACACAGTGTGCACAACCTGTACAGATTAAACATCTTACCTTTCTTTTGGCAAATTCCTCCCATTTTGAAGGTAATTTTGGTTTAGGGATCTGAAATATTAAGATGAGAAATTTTTATAGTTACAAAAGCAAGAGATCTGAAATTTAGAGCACTGCAGTTGATCTTAAACACGATAATGTACGTGTAACAGATGAGTATTCTTTCTCCCCTTGCTATTTTTATAAGGCAGTGTTAATAAATATGGCAATGTAAACTTTAGAGCAGATTATACTGTTGCGTTGACCACTTTGCTAGGTCTGAACATACAGTGCATAGTCTGCATAAAGCCAATGATCAACTTAGTTTCTGGAGCAATAAGCTTCTACAAGTAATTCTAATCCTTCTTGAATGGATGCAAGTCCTCAGCTGTAAGGTTACCCTAACAACATCAAATGTGCCAAGACCCATTTACAGAAGTCAAGTCAATTAATATTTGACTTAAAGAATAGCTTTTATTGTGCTTGGACTTGTACCATCCATCAATTTGACGGTCATTTAAAAAACCAAATCAGTTGACCTGTAGTGCTAGAAAAAGCTGTTACGAGAACTATCCGTGTAAGCAAGATGAAAAGCCAGGAAGACAATTTGCCGACTTCTTCCTTGCCTGCATTGAAAGTTTCCTACTGTAACTACAGTAAACACCC